ACAGGCAGAGTGGACAGTGAGAGAGAGACAGAGAGAAAGGTCTTCCTTTGCCGTTGGTTCACCCTCCAATGGCCGCCGCTGCAGCCGGCGCACCGCGCTGATCCTGGCAGGAGCCAGGAGCCAGGTGCTTTTCCTGGTCTCCCATGGGGTGCAGGGCCCAAGCACCTGGGCCATCCTCCACTGCACTCCCTGGCCATAGCAGAGAGCTGGCCTGGAAGAGGGGCAACCGGGACAGAATCCGGCGCCCCAACCGGGACTAGAACCCGGTGTGCCGGCGCCGCAAGGTGGAGGATTAGCCTATTGAGCCACGGCGCCGGCTATAAGTCAATCACTTCTAAAGGGCTGCCGCCCGAGTCTGGTGTGCAGCCGTCACCTGGCCCCGCTGAGCTGACAGAGCTAACACCGTGCCATGCGTGAGGTTGCAGTTATCCCTGGTAGCTGGTGAAACATGGTTTCTCGTGTGTCTGCGAACGCAGGCATTTACATCAGTAGACAGCAAAGATCTGCCCTCTCCAGTGTGGGCGGGCATCGCCCAGCCCACGGGATGCCCACGTAGAACAAATCAGCAGAGGCGTGGACTGGCTGCCTGAGCAGGGGCTCCCGCTCTCCGCCCTCGGACCCCACCACTGCCCTGGCGCTCGGGCCTCCCAGCCCCAGGCCTTGACGTCAGCAGTCCCAGTGCTCAGGCCTGTGCTTGCGGAGAGGGATTGTGGGACGACTCCGCCTCCCCAATCCCGAGAGCCAGACCCTGCAACAGCTCTGTGCGCTGTCCCTTCCATCTCTCGGAAGAACCCTGACTCTCACGTGGCGTGGGCCAGTGGGCTTTGCTGGTCTTCCTTGTGGTTCAGCCGCCGTCTCTGTTCCCCGCATCATGACACTCAGTCGGCAGAGGCTGTGGCCCCCGGGAGGAAAAGCAACCTGTCAGCCGAGTCCAGGGTCATGCTGGGGCAGACCCCAGGGTGCTGGGTCCCTCCGACACCGGGCTGAGCCGAGGGGCTGGAGACACACCCGTAAACGCCCAGCCCTGCGCTACCCCGCCCGTTCCTGTACAGGCCCGGCCGCAGCATTTGAATGGAAGTGTGGATCTGTCATTGGCACACCGATTAACTCTAATTATCTGCTGCTTACGCTTCAAGTGTCCTGTTTGCTCATCTCCAGATAAGCTGGCTTTGCCTCTGGGGCTGGGCTGTCCTGTTGCATCGTGGTTGTGGGGACGTGTTGCTCAGTGTAGAAATGGAGAGAAGGCCCCAAAGACAGTGCAGGAGTGACAGCGAGTTTATTGGTGCTGGGTGCAGAAAGGGGCTCCATTGCGGGGGAGGGGCCCCGGAGCTGGGGATCCATCGCCCCCGGGGCCGGGTCTCTCTCCTGTTACTTTTCTCCTCCTCCCTTACCTGTGATGAGCTGGCCTCTCTCCGAGTGCGCACAGTAGGGCTCCTATCTGGATTGGCGCCAATGCCTCTGTCCAGGAGGACGGGGAGGGTGGTCAGTGTTCCCCACACCCCTGTCTTGCTGCCGTATCGCCCCTCCCTCCCTTTGGTCCATTCTAAATTGTGTTTTCTTCTCCTCAGGGGAGTAGAGCTTGCCCGGAGTTCACTCTCCCTAACGCGGCCTACAGTCCTAGGTGCATCCCTCAGGTGCCTCAAAAATTCTACGATGCTTGCCTTCCCATCTCACCGAGAGAGAGAGAGAGAGAAAGAGAGAGAGAAAGAATCTTCCCTCTGCTGGTTCACTCCCCAAACAGCTGCAACAGCCAGGACTGGGCCAGGCCAAAGCCAGGAGTCAGGAGCTTCCTCCGGGTCTCCCACGTGTGCAGGGGCCGGACTGCTGGGCCCATCTTCCGCTGCTTTCCCTGCACATGAGCAGGGATCTGGGTGGGAAGTGGAGCAGCCAGGACTCCAAACCGGCACCCACGTGGGCTGCCAGCACTGCAGGCGCCGGCCTAATCGGCTGCACCACAGTGCCGGCCCCCACTTTCCATTATTAAACTAATCCTTTCCTTAAAGTCATGGCCCAACTTAAAATTCTGCCCCCGCCCCCATGCAATACAGCCGGGTGGAGCGGATGTGCTGGCTTGCGCTGGAAGCCGGGCGGCGCGGGCTCTGCAGTGTTTCAGGCCCTTGTTGGTGATAGTGCTGGAATCCTCACGCAGACTCCAGGTCATGGGCAGAACAGAACCTGCAGTTCCCCAGGTGGGCAGCGTCCAGGCCAGGGTGCCCCGGGCTGCCTGTCTACCTGCAAAGGGGGAGATCAATGGGGCTTCCAGAATCTTCCAGCCACTGGCCCTCAGCAGGAGCTCTGTCAGGTCCATGTGCCTACCAGACTCACCTGGACAGTGGCCTGGTTCTCTTCTGAGCTCTGGACGCCCACGAAGAACCTCCCAGGGTTCCCACCTGGATGCTGGCCCCCTCAGTGCCGAACAAGTCTTCCTCTACACTTGGAGTTTCTGATGGCAGGGCCCAGGCAGCCGGGGACAGGGGTGGGGGGAGGGCCTGGAAACCAGCAGTGGGGGCCTGGAAATCAGCAGTGGGGACATGGAAGCCACAGAGGATCCATGGAGGCTGTGCAGGCCCCAGCTCTCACCTGAAGTCTGGAGACAGAGGCAGCTGCGCCCCTGTGCCACAGGGCGCCCTTAGCCCCCAATCCCTCTGCTCTGCCTCCAGGAACCAGCAGGACACAAAGCTGCCCTGCCCGGAGCCTGGCCCTGCCACTATCTCCCTGAGGCTCTGGGGCCAGGGGCAGAGCGCTGGGGCTTTCTCGGTGGCCTCACCCTGCAGTCCGCACAGCCGCCCTGGCTGGTCTCTTCCCACCACACGCTCCTGATCCTGGGGAACCCAGAGACCCCGTCCCCCAGCGCTACACCTCTGGGCTGATGTGTGCCCCCTTCCCAAGTGGAAGCCTGGGCCCCAGCATGGCTGTGTTTGGCGACAGGGCCCCAAGGCCGGAGGACGAGATCAGGTTCCCGGAGGAGACACTTCTTCCGCCTTCCGCAGACACCACAAGTGGACAACAGGAGGCAGATTCCCCTCGGGCGGGTTGCAGTGTTCTTGAACGTTTCACTGGTGAAGGGCAGCAGCACCAAAGCTGCGGGTTCCAGGGGCGCGGGCGACCAGAAACCTCGCCAGGAATCTCCTCCCTCCGCCCCCAGTTCTCCCCACACTGAGTCATCGGAGACGGCAAAGTGTCCAGTGTCAGGGACACCGGGCGGCCCCCAAGGCACAGAGACTGAAACCACAAAGGTGCAGGAAGCAGTCAGATGAAGCCAGTCGATCCAACTCCTCGGCAGCTCCCTCTGCGCTCCTGCTGTGTGGACGGTGGAGCCAGCAGGAACTGTGGTCCCAGCCCTGTCCCTGAGCGGCGTTGCAGGCTGCACGCGCATGGAGCCCGCAGCGTCTCGGGTAGCTGCATGCATCAGTGCACACAGACGCGGCCGGGCTGCGGGCCCTGAGTTCTGGGTGTGGGTGTGGGTGAGGGTGGGACACACTGGGAGCGGGGGGCAGAGGTGGACGCTGTCCAGGCCAGAGCCACCCAGGAGCTGAAGACGCCGAAGACCCAAAGTGCATGTGTACCGTGCGCATGTGCAATCACCGTGTGACCCAGCGACCACACTGTTCTCAGGCATGAACCCGAGAAAACTGAAAACACGTTCCGGGAAAAACTTGCCTGTGACTCTCCACGGTGCTGTTACTCGTAATCGCAGAGCTCAGACTGGAGAGTCAGCATCGCACCAGGCCCTGGGAGCGTCAATTTAATACGCATCTGTGCTAAGGCAGGCAGAGACGGCCCTGTGACCTGTGACCGGGGCCAGCGGGCAGCGCGTGCCACTCGCAGCCTCCACGGGTGCCCGTCTCAGCCGCAGCGGCACAAGCCACATCGCAGCCCGGGGTGGCCGTGCACCCTCGAGCCCTCCTGGGTTCGGCAAACACCTCCACCTGTCCCCTTGACCTCTCCCGGGGCACTTCCCTAAGCCACTTTCCCGAAGGACGCTGGGAAACCGACCATCGGAGCGTTTCTCCTCTTCTTGACGATGCGGGACTATTTCAAGGGCAGGGCTGCCACGTGCTTTAATTTCCGTTCTTCCATGGTTAGCCCCAGATTGCCCACGCGGAGTCCGGTCTGCGAAACACTGCTGCTCCGAGCCTTCCGCCTGCATCGGGATTTGCAGCGACGCTGATGGAGCTTGGCAGCCTCCGCCGGTGCCTCCCGCGCCCCTGGCAGGATGTGAGGCCAGCAGAGGTCTCTGCAGAGCAGAGGGAGGCAGGGGAGGCAGGGCAGGAACTCAGCGGCCACTGAGGAACGCAGTGGGTCCCCCCTCCGCAGAGGCAGGGGCTCTGGGACGAGCGGTGAGGGAATTGGGGGAAAGACGATCCCGACCTCAGCACGCTCTCCCTGTACCCCCACGCGCGGCCCCTCGCTGCCCGGCCGCTGCAGCCTGCATCCGTGTGTCCCCTGAGCGTGACTCATCTGGGCACCGCTCAGCTTTCGCACGGCCGGGGACCCCCTCAGTCCCCAGACGGCCAGCGCCTCGCCCGACCCCGTCCTCGCGCCTTCATGGATCCTGATCGACTTAACTCTGAGTGTCCGGGAGCCAACTGCACACAGGGCTTGGCAGCATCGCCCTCCTTAGCGCCACGTCTCTTGTCTCTCCCACCGCTGGCCAGGGGGCTTCAGGCCCTCGTGCCCACACTGGCCCAGGACCGTGCTCCCCGTCACAGCCCCTGCACCCGCTAGCATCACCCCTCCACCCAGGCCTTAAAAGCGATGGAAGAGGGAAGCAGCAATGGACACAGAATCTGCAAACACAGTGGTGCCCCCTCGCTCGTCCTCTCCTCCTCACCCACAGCGACGCCTCCCCACGAGACCCCGCAGCTGTGAACCCCTCTGCCGATGGCTCTCACGCTTCCTCCTTCCTCCAGTAAAGCCCTGAGGGTGCCTCCTGGCCCACACCCCCTACCAGGCTCCCTGCTGGAGCCACACCGGCGCTGGGCCTGCAGCTCTGTCTTGGTCCTAGACCCTGGCAGAGCTGGGCCAGGCCCACCTCACCCTGTGTGACCTCCTCACTGGGTTGCTTGTCCTGTTAGCCACCAGTGGGCATCGCAGTGGCCGGTGACCTGCGACACCCACGCCAGGCACCGAGGGCCGCACAGCCGCTGCCTCGCCGCTGGAGGTGTGCAGGTGTTCTGGGACGGGGCATTTGATTGGCAGCTCGCAGCCTAAATGCAGCTCCCCCTGACTAATTCACTAACCGCCAACTGATGCCTGATGGCTTCTTTTAATTTCTCTCAAGACATCCATCGTTTACAAACGCTGAAGCCCACCCTTCTAAAATGCACACGTCGCTGGCTTTCCTGGTGTGTTCACTAGCTGCGCAAGCCTCGGCACTGTCTCATTGCGGGACATTTCATCGTCACCCGGGAAGATTCCACACGACTTCCGGGGAACCACGGACTCCCTCTCTGTCTCCGCTGGGAATTCTGCACGCTGTGGCCCTTGGTGACCAGGTTCTTTCACCCAGCGTCGCACAGAGGTTGGCCCTGGTCACCTCAGGTGATGGGGGCACACGTTTGTGGACTCCCCCAGGAGCTCTGGGTTTGCGGGGGCTTCCCACGTTTAGCCTGCCAGGTCCAGGCTGCTGTGGACAATGGGCTGCCAGCATCTGTGTCGACGTCTTTTCTTCCTCTTGGGTTAACACTCAGGGGCAGAATAGTTCTTGAGGAACTGCCAAACTCGTTTCCACGGGAGCTCGGCTGCTTTCCCCGCCCCCCGCCGGGCACGCGGGTCGCCTTGTCCTGCACCCCTCAGCGTGGGTGCGGCGGTGCTGGTGGGTGTGAAGAGGCACTGCTGTGGTTTGAAGTGCGTCTCCCTAATAATTAGTGACACTGAGCACCTTGCATATAGTAATAAGACGTCTGCATGCTCTGTTTGGATAAATGAATGTCTCTGCAAGTCCTCTGTCAACTTTGTCGTTGGGTTTTGTCTCCTTCGATTGCTGAGCTGTAGATTTCTTTATATATAAGAGACCAAGTGCCATCTCAGGTACCTGATTCACAGGTCTTCTCCCACCCTGTGAGTTTTTTCATTTTCTCGATACTGTCCATTGGAAAACAAAAGTTCATCTTTTAAAAGATTGTTTATTTATTTATTTGAAAGTCAGAGTTATGGTGGGGGGGGCAGGGAAAGAGAGGTCTTCCATTCACTGGTTCACTCCCCACATGGCCACAATAGCCAGGGCTGGGCCAGGCTGAAGCCAGGAGCCAGGAGCTTCATCCGGGTCTCCCACATGGGTGTCAGGGGCCCAAACACCTGGGCCATCTTCTGCTGCTTTTCCCAGGCCATTAGGGAGCTGAGCTGGAAGTGGAGCAGCCAGGCCTGGAGCCCACAGCCATATGGGATGTCAGTGTCGAAGGTGGCAGCTTTACCTGCTACGCCACAACGCCAGCCCACAGAAGTTCACTTTGATGAGGGTCAACTTATTTTACTTTCTGCTGCCTATGTTTTTCATGTCGTCTTTAAGAAATTATTGCCCAGGGTCAGCTCCACCACGTAGTAGGTGAGGCCACCATCTACAGTGCCGGCATCCCATATGTGTGCCAGTTCAGGTCCCAGCTGCTCCACTTCCCATCCAGCTCCCTGTTGGTCCACCTGGGAAGGCAGTGGAGAATGTCCCAAGTGCTCGGGCCCCTTTGCCCACAGGGGAGACCTGGAGGAAGCCCTGGTTCCTGGCTTTGGATCAGCCCAGCTCCAGTCATTGCAGCCATTTGGGGAGTGAACAAGTGGATGGAAGATTTTTCTCTCTGTTAATCTGCCTTTCAGGTAAACAGACAAATCTATAAAATTAAAAAGAAATGATTGCTGGTCAAATGTCATGAAGATTTATGCCTCCTGAGCTGTGGACGGGTGCAGTGATGACCTGGAACCCTCAGGAGGACAGGGACAACAGGGGAAGTGTCGCAGGAAAATGAGTCTCTCTGCCTCCTCCTTTGTAGCGCCCCAAAGTGGTCAACGCCTGGCGTGACGCAGAAGCCCAGTGCGGAGGGCTCAGCGGGCACGGTGTGCTCCCAGGACACAGCTGACCCTCCCTCAGGGACTCCTTCACACACCGCGAGCTCAGATGTCGGGCCCTCTGCGATCTTCCCTCTTCAAATGAGCCTCTTCCCTCTCCTCTCCCGCCTGACACCTGCCTGCTGCCAGCGCCCACTGTCACGGGCACGTGCTCAGTGCGCAGCCAGGCTGGGACACCCGGAGGTGCGTGTGCTTCTCAGGGCCTCTGTACTCCTCGGACGGTCGTTGCTGGCCTCAGGCGACACTGAGGCTGGCACTTCCTGAGGCCTTGTCAGAATCATCCCACGTCCTCGGCCCCTCAAGGCGCTCCCTCCCTCACTAACCTGAAAGCACCAAGTTCTCATCTTCCTGCCCAACAAGGGTCTTTGCGCGCAGACACAGCCCGGCTGCAGGTGGAAAAGCACTTTGCAGTCACCTGAACACGGGGGCGAGAGTCCAGCATGGGATGCCCATCTGTCCGTCCCTCCCAAGCCATGGTCCCTCCCAGACACTGGGACTGGAGGCCCAGACCCCCTGACCCCCGCACAGCCACAGCCTGATCCTCCCCTGGCCGCATCCTCTCAGCTCCCCGAGTGCGTCCAGGCACGAGTGCAGCTGCACCCCCACCTCGGGCCTTTGGGGCTCACAACTGTTGCTTACATTTTCAGGAAATTAAGAGAAAATAAAATAAAAAGTCATTCAACCCACACATCCTGCCCAGGAAAAATCCAGCCATTGTTCTTGCCTAAGCAACATCTTTAAACCCCGCATTTGCACAGATTTTATCACATCTGCCCCTGGAGGCCGGCATTTCTCATGAACACACAGCTTTCCTGGAGTGTATTTGGTTTGCTTTCCCGGTGCCAAGCCTGGGCGGAGGGCAGCCAGGCAGGCCAGCTCCTGGCACTCACCCAGCCTGCATTTCATCCATCCGTCCTCCTTGTCCCTTTTACCAACTCATTCTTGATGGGGAAGATAAGAAATTAATTTTAAACATACACACACAGCAGTAACAACACCCCAGATCATTCAGCCATTGGCTCAGAAGTTATCCTCCAATGTCTGTTCACTTTCAAGTGCTCACGTCCCAGGGAGTGTGTTCAGCCGGCACCACCCACGGTAAGCTCTCTTCTCCACGGCCCACTTTGCCAGGGTGCTGCCAGTTGGCCAACGCTCTCAGGCGTCGCTTGGTGGAACTGCACAATAGAGAAGCCACTTCCTGGAACTGAGCCTACGTCCACAGTCCCACCCTCTGACCGACCCCGGACTGAAGGCAGTCAAGTCATTTCAAGGTGAACTGGAGGAGCTGAGTTTTGCAGGCAGTAGATGGCAATCAAGATCCCACCCAGGTGGGCCAGCGCTGTGGTGTAGTGGGTACAGCCGCCGCCTGCAGTGCCAGCATCCCATATGGGCGCTGGTTCGAGTCCTGGCTGCTCCACCTCCAATCCAGCTCTCTGCTATGTCCTTGGAAAGCAGTGGAAGATGACCCAGGTCTTTCGGCCCCGGCACCTATGTGGAAAACCCAGAAGAAGCTGCTGGCTCCTGGCTCCTGGCTTTGGATTGGCGCAGCTCCGGCCACTGCAGCCAAATGGGGAGTGAACCAGTGGATGGAAGACCTCTCTCTCTTTTTGCCTCTCTTTGTCTCTCTGTGTAACTCTGACTTTCAAATAAATAAATAAATCTTAAAAAAAAGAGCCCACCCAGAACAAAAGTCCCCAAAACAGCTGAAGAAAGAGCATCCCCAGTTCCTTTGGGAAGAAAGAAACAAAGAGAATTTTTCACACGTGGAAGCACATATGTTCCTTTCTAGTTCAGACAGTGTGTTTGAGATATAGGCCACGTAAACGATCAGAGGGCCTGGACTGCTGATAACAAACCACCAGCTGGGAACCAAGGAAGGTGCTGCTCACCGACAGGAGTCGGTGTTTACCAAACAGCACCGGCGTCTTAGCTTCCAGAGCCGTCAGATCAACAAAGCAGCCGAGCAACTCAGAGCAGAGGCTCCGGGACAGAAGTGGGTCCATCTGGCCCCGAAGCTTGGCTCTGGGTTCTCCCAGCCGGTCTCAGGGCAGGTGCCGCCTGACAGCAGGTGTGGCTGTCTGTGCAATCTGCATTCCTGCCCCAGAATGGGAGCCTCACTGTCTTGCCCACGGCAGCTCATCCACCCTGGAACAGAACCGGCATCCTGGGAGCATCCGCTAAATCCTGATTGGACAAATGACGCTTGTTTTGAATCCAGAAGTTGTAAAGGGGTCTCCTCGCCATCCTCTGTCCATTTCTGCGAGGATAACTAGGAATGTGAAGGAGAAGGTGGAGACCTCTCTGGGCTGAACGGGAAAAGGCTCTGGCTGCACCTCCCTGATGCCAAGGGCGGGCGCTAAGTACCTGCCACTCTTCTTTTCCATTAGTATTATATATACACTTTGGTCCTTTCCACCCAGCATCTGCGTTTCACCAATGCCCTCGCCCCACGCTGTCGTTGGTTGACATCGAGCTAACGTCAGAAGCGGCTTGATGGCCGTTGGCTCCCAGTGCTGACCCACTTCTTGCCTGTCCCAGCTGCGGTCTCCCATGAAGCTTTGCTTTCTCTCGTTGTGTCTCTGCTTCCGCTCACACGGTTGCCCCGTTGTCAATCAGCCGTGGCTCGATATCCACGCACTCCAGCGCAGGTGGAGGCGTCCTTCCCAGGTAGACCCCAGATGGCTGCACCTGCAGAATCTGCACCCGAGGCAGGCCCGTTCCATCACTCCTGACCGCACCAGGTGATTTGCACACATTAGAGGTCATCCAATCAGGCACAGCCTAGCGGCCCAGGGAATACCTTCTCAGTGCCGCAGAGGCAGGGGGTAGAAGTTCTGGAAGGCACTCCCTCTCCTGTGTTCACAGGAAAGATTACAAGGGAAAACATGGGGGTCCGCTGTGTTTGTTCTTTCAAAAGAAATAGGAGGGGCCCAGGTGCTCCTCAAGGGACTCCAAGTTTTCACCAAGTTTTGTTCTACATTTCAGATTACTCTATAATAAAACCGTGAGGCTATTAAGCAAACGCAAAGTCCACGCCGCACTACAGACAAATAAACCTGGGTAAATCTTCAAACAGTCTCACAGCGGCTTCGCGCATCAGCTGTGAGCATCCAAGCCTGCAGATAACGGGTCAACCAGGCGCTGCTGTCGCGCCAGATGCATTCTGCGAACGGAGCCTGCATTGGCTTTTTGTACCACAGCTTCTTCCATAGCAAATGATCATTTCGGTAAGAGCAGTCCCTTCCCACGCGACCACCTGTAGGACCCCGGGAAGGTTCTGAATCCGCAGAGCGGGCAGAACTGAGTGGAATCAGCTGCTGGGGAGACTGTGGCAAACCAGAGTGCGCATAGTTCAGGGGAAAGCATTCAAAAGTTTTTCCAACAAGTAAACGCTGTGTGGGCTAAACAAAGGCTCTCTGTGGCTCTGATCTCAATGCTTGCACTGTCTCCAACTCACTGCTGAAACCTAGTCCCCAGGGCAATGGCACTGGGGCAGGGAGGGGGGGGTTGGGGCAGGAGGCAGAGCCTGCATGGAAGCGACGGTGGCCCTGATGTAGGGACCCCCAGGGAGCTCCCTCACCCCGTCCCCTGTGGGGTCACAGTGAGAGGGCCACCGCTACGAGCCAGGGAACAAGCTCCCATCAGACATGAAACGCGGGAAAGCCTTGAACTTGGACTTCCCAGTCTCCGAAACTATTGGAAACGCGTGGCTGCGGTCCAAGCCCTCGTCTACAGGGTGCTGTCGCAGCCGCACAGAGAGCCCTGGAGTCAGCAGCTCCCACATCTTAGAGGGCCAGCAGGGGCGCGCCTTCCTCCAGCGCTGTGGCCACCCATGCGTAGGTGTCATGGGACCCCGTCACCCAGCGTCACCCTTCCCGGGCCTCAGGTGTGGAATGACGCCCTTCCAGACTACAGGGCTATCGGGTAGAAGGTGTCCCCTCCCCTTCCCCTGATGCAGAATAGGCTCTGGGCTCCTGAGCTGCCTTGGAAGTGCCGTCTGTCCGCTCGGAGGATGCAGACCCTCTTCTGTTCCAATGGGTTCCTCTGCAGGGCTGTGCCGGGTGCGGCCGCTCTGGGCTTCCTGGCCCCCACTAAGTACCCCCACCTCTCCTGGAAGGAACATTAGAGGCCAGCACCTCAGAAGGCCTCGGGGCCACAAGGGGAAGATTCCAGGGCCTGCTGGAGTGGACCAGGCTCCCACATCGCTGCCCGTGGGGCCCGGAAGGCAGGCAGCGAGGGGCACCCTGGGAGACAAGGAGCAGGCGAGCTCCAGCAGGCTGATTCCTGGGAAGGGGCTCCCGGCGGGGAACGAACTTGGACAGACGAAAAGGTTTTGAGCACTACACGTTCCCCCAGGAGTCCTGAGATGTCTCGGTCCCCACGTCTGCCCTCATCTAGCTCCCGCGCTGCCTCGGTAGCTGGGCTCAGACTCCTGGATCCGCTCACTAGCTCCAGTGAAGAGCTCCAGGCTAGGGCCACGCAGCACCCAGCACGGCCCTGCCGAGTCCTCCAGGCTGGGCTGCACAGGGGGGCACAGAACCACACTGCTTCCCGACTCCACCCCCCGGGCTACGTCCCCGCCGTGGGCCCTCATGTGGCTGCTGTCACCGGCCTCCTGGCTTCTCCCACTATCACCTGCTTCCTGCAGTCACCAGGGTCTGCTGGCATCCCCCGCTTGCCACTGCCTCACAGCCAAGCTCTTCAAATCACTCCCTGCTCTGTGCCTCCACTGCCTTCCTCTGTGGTCCGGAATCGCTCCGCCCAGCTCTCCAACACCCCTGGTCATCACACTGGGGGCTACTGCAGCAATCCAGCCGAATTCTCCCAACAGATTTCCTCCAGCCACAAGAGGCAACAGTCACAAGTTCCAGGGTTGGCACCTGCCGTCCTGGAGGGCGTTCCCCGGACCACCCCAGCCCTCCGAGATGATAGAGAGGAACAATGCGGACGTAGGAGAGGGCTGCTCACACGGGGGCTCACTAGGGAGCAGGTGCATAGCGCCCAGCACAGCCCTAAGACAATACCTCAGCCAAGACCCATGAGCGAAAAGTCCAGACCATCTGGACTCGGGGTCCTGGGCTCAGAGAGCGCCCACTCCCGGCTACAGGGGCACTGCCGTGACTATGGCCGTGGGCACTCCCTTTCTCCTGGAACATCTCGGGCAGTGGGTGTTCTGTTAGTCACACACACACACACACACACTAATCTTTTCACACCCACAAAACCAGGCTTATCACACCTCTGCCGTGTGAGAACATATCGGTGGGCCCTTGAGGAAGACGTCTGAGCTGCCCAGCTTCCGTGCTAAGCCCTGCCCACCTCCCTGAGGACACTGTCAGCTCGGCACTTGGCACTCGCCGTCCCCAGAACTGTGGTGACTCCCAGAAGCGGCTCTGGCTCTGGCTGCTGTCGCCGCCCCTCCTCAGTGTCTCCCACCGCCATGGGGTGTCCGGCCGCTACTTCAGCAGTCTGCTTTACCTGTTTGGAGGCCAACAGGTGTTATCAGGCGCACATAAACCGAGAGCGGATCTCCCTCCCAAACTGTCCCCGCACCTGCTGCTCTCTGCTTCACGATCCTCTGCCCGAGCCAGTGATGCCCAGGGCAGGCCAAGCAACCAGCCCGGGGGTGGAGGACTCCCCGCTGGGTGAGGGCACCAGAGACCCCTTCCCTGCCCACTCTGGGGAAGCCCCGGGGGCCGTCTATGGGGCTGAGGCAGGAGGGAGGTCCTCCAGGAAGACAGCTCTGACCCTGAGCCTCCGATAAGCCCCAGGCTCTGTTTCAACATTGCCTGGGGGAGCCATTGCACTTTCCGAAGAGCAGGCTCTGTTGGCCCAGCTCTAAGTAGGCTTCAAACCTGTGTGAGGGCCGAGAACCTGACACACACAGCTCTGGACCTGAAGCGAGGGCTCCTCAGGGGACCATGGAGCCCTGAACCCGGGGCAGGCTGGTCGTGACCTGGCAAGCCCCACCTGCTGGTCTCCTTCCTGAAATCAGCCCTGGGAAAGCTTCGGGGCTGGGCTGAACCTCTGCTGTCCACTCATTCCCGCATTTATCTTTCTGAAACAAAACCACAATGACGTATGCATGAATTCTTACTGGAAAGGATGTAGCTAACTGACGGGGCTGACGCTGTGGTGCCGGCATCCCATGTGGGCACTGGTTCGAGTCCCGGCTGCTCCTCTTCTGATCTAACTCTGTGCTAATGGCCTGGGAAAGCAGTGGAAGATGGCCCAAGTGCTTGGGCCCCTGTACCCATGTGGGAGACCCAGAAGAAGCTCCTGGCTTCTGCCTGGCCCAGCCCCAGTCATTGTGGCCATGTGGGGAGTGAACCAGCAGACAGAAGACCTCTCTCTCTCTCTGCCTCTACCTCTCCCTGTAACTCTGCCTTTCAAATAAATAAAATACATCTTCAAAAACAAAAAGATGTAGCTAACTGAAGCTTCAGATCAAACTGTGGGAAGTCCTCCTTACCACACTGTTTCAGCTTCCAGAGATAAACCCTCGGCACCCTTCAGTCCCCTGAACTTCACATTCAAACACACGTGCACAGATACGCAATGCGCAGGGCAGGCGCATGTGTGCACATGCACATGTGTGCACACTGGGCTCCTGATGCTCTCATGTACAGTGCACACGCTCACACACTTCACAGCACAGTGCACTCGTGCACACACACACGCACACGTTCACAACACATGTGGCATGCACACACATGAACAAGTACACACTCTCCTACATATCCACACTCGGCCTTATGCGTGTACTTCTCTGAGATTTGTCTTGAAGACACTGCTTGGCTGCCGCTATTCTGCACGTTGCTACATGAGTTCAGCCCCCTCTTTGGTGTGTTTTGCTCCAGGTGTGAGTCTAGTCCCCCGAAGCCTGTGTGCCCCTCAGAACGCGGCCTTCTTGGAAACAGGGGTTTGCAGAGGTCTTCGTGTCTACCTGGAGCTGTTGGGGTGGAGTCTGTGCAGTGTGCCTGTTGTCCTTATAGGACGGGGCACGTGGACAGGACGCACCTGTGAAGGCTGCCACGTGGAGACCACGTGGAGATGGCGGTGCACAGACACCGCGGTCACCAGCAAACTGGCAGAGGCCAGGCCACTTCCCTCCCCCTCCCCCAGAAGGAAGCTGCCCAGCAGGAGCTGGACCTGGGGCATCGAGCCGCCAGCCCAGAGAGGGTTCTTGTCCGAGGCTGAAGCCCCCATCTTTGGTGTTTTGTTACAGAGACCCTGGGGAACACACACACACACACACACGCAACACACAGACAGTAGGCCCCGGGCTGCAAGTGCTAATGCAGAGAAATGCTACACGGCAGAAGACGCCGCACTGGGGCAGTGCGGAGAGAGGAAGACACAGCCAGGACACAGCGGGGAAGAACAGTGGGCTGAGGTCAGGGACAGCAGGGCAAAGCCCCTGGAGCAGGGTCCTGCTAAGGAGGCGCAAAGCCTCCAGGAGGTGGGTGAGGGGACCAGGAGGCCCCCAAGTCCTGCTGAGCCGGGAGTGTGGGGTGGTGGGCACAGGGGGCTGTGGTCTGGAGGAACATCCTGGCAGCTCTGGGCAGCACAGATGCCGGGAATGATGGGTGGTGCCCAAGACAACCATAGGAGCGGCCACGACAATGCAGACGGCAGAGTGGCCCAGGGTGGTGGAGGGGGGTGGGTGAGAGGAACTGGGCCTGGATGCAATCAGGAGGCTTGCTGATGGATGGGACGTGCGTGTGAGCAGGAGCCGGGCCAAGGATGGCGCCAGGTTTGGAGCCCACACAGAGGTGGAGGGCCTAGGCTCCCCGTGGTGACTGAACGGGGACAGAAGACAGAACCGACTGGCTGCACGCTCAGGATGGCAGCTGGACAGCGTAAGTGCTGAGCGTTTTTGAAGAATTTATACTTCCTGTTTGGTCAAACATTTCCCCCCTGCGGCTGTCTCTTGCTGGAAGTGACACAGCTCCCGCCTACTGCCTGCGAGAGGGGTTCTGACGAACAGGTGCTCTGGTTTCCACCCCCACCCCCACCCCGCCCTGAGGCTCCACTGTCCTCCCTGCTGCTGGTGGGGTGGCCCGTCATGGCCAGGCGAATGTCTCCTCTCCAGGCCGCAGCACAGCCTGTGTTAGGACGACCTGAGCAGCGAGGAGGCATCTAAGCTGGAGCCAGCTGTGCGAGTGTCTGAGGTGACACCTGGGAGGAGGGACGGCTCCGCTCACGTGCGCGCTCACACGCATCCCACACTTAGAAATAACAGCAGCGATGGCATCGGTGGAAGCCGAGCCCATGCCGATGGCGCCGCCCTGGGTGACCTTGCGCCGTGTGGCTTCCTTCATTTGATGCTGCAGGACAGCGACTGCGTTCATGGAAGACACTTAAGAAGCAGAACTCAGACAGGCAGCTTGGTCACCTTGTACTCAGAAGACTGAGGTCTGACGAATTTAAATGACCCCCTCGCCAAAGTCAACGGCCAACAGAACTAGGCTTCCTCCGATGTGTGGGTCCAGAAAGCAACCAGTGTCTCCCCCACCGTGTGCTCAGAAACCCCAAATTCCTGCGGTCAGTGGCCATGCGTAGGAGCCGCCCGGAGACCTCGTCGGGGAAGAAAAGAGAGACGGCTGGAGGGCGAAAGGGGCCTCCCCCCAGGCCCCAAGGGCTGACCCCTATGGGGGTGGCTCACTGTCCACAGGAAGCCAAGGACGCTCCGTGGGGTCAAGTCTTGGTGAGTTCATGCGCACCGTCCAGCCTGAGACGGGGAAGCAGGGACGACACTGAGCGACGCGGAGAAGGGAAAGAACGCATAGGGCCGCCCTGGCATCAGGAGGATGCTGGGAGAGGGACAACAGGGGCCGGCGCTGTGGCAGAGCGGGCAAAGCCTCTGCCTCCAATGCTGGCGTCCCACATGGACGCGGGTTCAGGTCCCGGCTGCTCCACTTCCGATCCAGCTCTCTGCTATGGCCTGGGAAAGCAGTGGAAGATGGCCCAAGTCCTCGGGCCTCGGTCCTCCGCGTGGGAGACCTGGAAGAAGCTCCTGGCTCCTGGCTTCACACTGACCCAGCTCCAGCCGTTGTAGCCATTTAAGGAGTGAACCAGCAGATGGAATACCTCTCTGTCTCTCCTTTTCTCTCTCTCTGTATAACTCTGCCTCTCAAATCAATACATGAATTTAAAAAAAAAAAAAAAAAAGGAGGGGAAAGACACCAGAAAGCAGGGCAGTGGGCTAACCTGACCCCCTCCGGGGTCACAGCACGTTCAGCTGCGTGAACTCTGGGGTCGGAGGGTGAGGACGAGGAGGAGGAAGCACGCTGTGGGTTGCTGGGCTCCGTCTGCAGTGGGGGCGAGATCCCTGGAGGCTTCCTGGTCGCACGGAGGGAACTCCAGCGCCGCCTCCTGAGTTTCCAAGGGAAATGCAACGCTGCCCAAGCTGCTGTGCAAGCATCCCGCAATTGTCCTCACGGTGGGATTTTTCTTGATTCGTGCCCATGCTCCGCTTCCCAGCTCCCGTGAACTTTCCCAGGCACTGTGCTCTGAGGGCCTCACGACAGGCCGCGGCTGTTGTCAGGATGCGTGATGCATGGGCTTCCCAGGCTGCCGTGGCCTTCATAAATCAGCACTCGGTATCTGTCTGGGCTATAAACATCTCGGGTCTCTTTCATCCCCCCAGTGAGGGAACCCCTATTTGTGTGCTCATTTGCCATCTTCTTGGCGGCCGCCGGTCCCAGCTGGCCTGGGGCTGGGGCGCGGCTGTAGAGCTGTGGGAGGCTTGCGTGGCCTTCTTCTCCCCTGCCTGTGACAAATGCTTGGTTTGCCCTGGGTCTCACCTCCTGCTGCAGCCCACCGGGGATCGCTTGCCCTGCACGGCGAGCTCCCCACAGCGCCAGGCACACAGGCACGCGAGGGCTCGCTCTGAGTTCCCCACAGCCATGGCGCTGTCCCTGCTGGAAGTGCGGCCACACAGCTCCACGGCGGGGCAGGTGCGCCTAGGTGCTACCACCCTGGGTTGGAGCCGTGCATTTTCACTTTGTGCTGCAGGACTGCCCCCCAGGGCCCTCACGGAGTTTGTGGAAAGCAAGTCTCTCCTGGGAACGCACAGTGCCTTTCCAGTTTGTCTGTAACTTCTAGCGTTGTCCCCGAAGGCCTCGCCTGCAGAAGCAGGCCCGGTGCTTCTCCGAGTCTGCGACTTCTCCCCGCGTTTTTCTTTCTCCCGTGAGCTGCTCTTTGTCCTCACCTGCGCGCAGGGGCCCTGGCCTCTCCCGAGCCCCCGAGCACGTCGGCCCCGCGCAGCCCCCTGCGCTGCCCTCAGCCTTCACCACGCCGCACCCGCAGGGTCTCACGGCCGGGCATTTGCTCTGCTCTCGCTGGGGTCTACTGTATCTATCTGTATCGTTATTTTTTTCTATTTTTGTTGTTTCAAACGTTTAGGAGTAACAGGACAGAAGCCCCGTGCTCACGTCCAATGACTGGGGAGAAGCCCAGACTTTGGGCTGGCGAGGCAAGCCTGGCTCGTGCCGGGAACCCCACATGTGCCCTGTCGGGAACTCCTGCCCGCAGTTCCCCCCTTCTGAGGACTCTGCGCAGACCCCGCCCTCCTGCCTGGCGGCTGGGGACAAAGAGCTTCCACTGAGCTGCTTTCCAAACTTCCCGCACACCCACCATAGCAGGCTGTGCCATCCCAGCCTGCGCCCCTTCCGAAGGGCGATATTGAGGGTGGAGGGGCAGGTGAGAGACTGGGATCCGCACAACAAACAGCTTACCATCCGCACTCCTGCTGAACACAGGCAGAGCCCAAACACAACAGGCCGCAGGTCCTCCCCCACATCCTCCCGGACTTTTCCCCAGAGGGGACCGGACATCCTCCCGGACTTTTCCCCAGTGGGGACCGGGGCCTGACTGGCCCACCTGGAACTCTTCCTCCATTGCCACTGTTTCACCTGCAGGCATCGTTACAACATCAAAAGCAGCTAACTGTAAGTGTATGGATGGTGGGTGGATAGATGATAGGAAATAATTGATACAGATAGAGGGCTGAGATAGACGGATGGATAGATAAGATAGATGACTGGAATGGACGGTAGATGATTGATAGGTGGATAAATGGATGGATGGATGGATGGATGGATAGATAGATAGATAGATAGATGATAGACAGAGTGAGCTACCAGGCATCAGCCTGTGGGGTCAGCTCCAACCGGATGGAAGGCAGTGCTGAGGAAGCACGGTGGCGGACATCACCTGTTTTATGAAGTGGGTGTCGTAGCTGCACCCTAACCAAGGGTTCGCTGTGAAAAGTAAGGAGGGAACCCTCGTGGCGCACTCTGAGTCATGCGTGGGGCCCGGACACGCCCGTTAAGCTTCTTCTTATCACACTAGTGCTGTTTGCAACTAGCAAGGCCCAGCTGCTTAAGCTCCGACTGCGTGGCAATGCGTGAGACAAGACCCTTTTGTTTCTTGTTTTGACATAAAATGTCTCTGCTGGATACATCTGCACAACTAAACTTGTTCAGTTGAAACTCTCCAGGTCCATGGTCTGCCAGGAAAAACTAGCTGTTATTGGTGTCTGGTGGTTTGGCCACTGGAGAGATACAGTCACAGAAACACTAGCAGGGCTGGTGTTTGCTCGGTTTCGTGTACTTGAGAAACATCTCCCTCCCCGAGGTTTCTAAGGACGTGGAGACGCTAGCGTGGTCTGACAGGGAGGTCTCCTTGCTCTGCATGTCTCAGCAAACGTCGTCACAACAAAATTCACCAGAATCAGCAATGAATTCTGAAACGATGTTGGGTGAGAACCACCATGCTACACCATGAGGTCCCTCAGTGTCCTTACAAATACCCCAGTCCAGCCTCCCGCCAACGCATCCTGGGGTGCAGGATGGGGCTCCTGGTTCCTGGCTTCAGCCTGGCCCAGCCCTGGCTCTGTCATGGGCATTTGGGGAGTGAACCAGCAGATGGAAGTGCTCTCGCTTGTCACTCAACCTTCCAAGTGAAAACAAATAAACATTTAAAGACCCTTTGGTGCTCAAGCACAAAGCAACACCATTTCCTGAATCCTGGTTCCATTCAACCACACATTTGCCATTGGAGGCCCGTCTGCATTTCATCGCACCCGCTCATCTGATCCTCGTGCTGCAGGGCACCTGGGCAGGATGCACTACATCCCCTTCCTCTCTCAGTGATAAGATCAGGGCTCCGGGACGTCAAGTGGCAGGTGGCTGGGCCCCGAGCTGGGCCAGTCTGAAGCCAGGATCCTGGAGCTCCATCTGGACTGCAAAACTTAAGCCCCCATCTGCTGCCTTTCCCGGCGCACTGGCAGGGAGCTGGGTCAGAATCGGAGCAGCCAGGACCAGAACTGAAGCTCCATGTAGGATGCGGTGTCCCACGCAGCGGCTTAACCGGAGCACCAGCCCCTCTGCTCCTTCATTAAAAAGACAGAGTTCATGGTGTTCCTGCCACTGTCCGTCCCGACCATGTCCGCCACGGGAACTGGCGTGGGCAGCACGTGGGAGCGGTCCTCCTGACCAGGGGCTGTGGTGAGCAGGGAGAAGGTTTCTGAACTCCCAGTGATTTGATTGTGGAAAGAGTGTTCTTTCTGACTTCCAGCTACTCCCTGGTGTGCTGATGATGCAGGGAGCGAGGGTTCACACAACACCACCAGATCTCACAGGCAGCTGCAGCCTCATCATTTCTTGGTGCTGGACTAAGCTCCTTCAGGTGCCCCTCCTGCTGGTGGCAGGGAAGACTCGGGGGCGTCACCCTTCCCAGGCACACCGTTCCTTCCGCTGAGTTCTTTCTAGCAGGGATGGACTCTGGTCCAAGAGCCCTTGCTCCCAAGGCACCGCCCAGTGTCCTGGGCACAGTCCTCTGAGCCTGGTGCACCGCCTCCCCGTGAGTCCGCCTTGCTGAGCCGTCTGGGGCTGCTGGGTCCCCAGGTCCTGCCCGTGTTTCGCCTGAGCAGTTCTGATGGGAAGGCGTTGGTCTCTCGTCACAGTTTTACTTGGTTTTTCCCTGTTGGACTGATGGTGGTGCCTCTTTCTTTGTGTGACTCTGCCACCCCAGCGTCTTGTTCAGGGCCCACTTTGATCACATCACACTAGTTCTCCCAGTTTGATGATCAGGTATACAGACATTTTCTCACGACATCCCCTTTCACAGAGCAGAGCAGAGCTGTTTGGATGAAGTCTAATTTACCATTTTTTTTTTTTTTTAGTTTTATGAATTGTGCTTTGGGTGTCAAATCTGAGATTTCTTTGCCTAACCCAAAGTCGTCGATATTTCTTCCTGTCTTCTTCTAGAAGTTTTCTAGTGCTAAGTCTCACAAATCCAGGTTAGTGATACACTCCGAGATCCTCCTTTTAGACGATGGAAGATTCCATTTTCCATTAGGATGTCCAACGGTCACAACACCATTTGTTGAAATAACTTCGATTGTTCACACTGTGTGTTGTAGCTACACAGCTCTGGATAAGGTATGCTGAGTACACTTTCTCATTTATCTTCGGCAAGAACCACAAGGAATGGTGGTGCGGTGTTTTTCTGCATCTGTGAGAGACCAGGAAACCGGGACACAGAGGTATGAGTCCCTGGATGAGACCTGGGATGAGATCATCCAAGCCCTGGAGGCAGAGCTGAGGCCTGAAGCCCAACCCAGGGCTCCCATGCGCATGCTTCTGCCCTCGAGGGTGGTCAGCCTGGGGGAGCCTCTTTGGTCCAGAACCAGGGCCAACCCCAGGTGTGGGCAGCCCTGGGAATGCCCCACAAGGCCACGTGCCTTCACCTGAAACCCCTCAGCGGCCAGCACCACGTAGAACTGCCCTCCCCCACCCCTCCATCCACTCGATTCATGGGCTCCCCCAAGAGGCCAATGAGCCTTTTTTAGGAGGAAAATGGAGTGCCTCAGAAGGAAACGGGGGGGCCCCTCCAATGCCAGGGCTTGACTTTCGGAAGAAAGGAAACGTGGCCCCACCCCGGGAGAAGCATCTGAATGAGAAACCCCGGGGACGTGTGTTCCAGGCAAGCTTGGGCTTCTTTCGTCCTATTCTAAACGCTGGTTTGGACAGCGTGCTAAAGCCCCTCTCCTATTTGATCTGAAACGCTGTGAGCTCACATCCATCCCAGCGGCCTGGTCCTATTTGTAAGTTTTCAGTAACTAAACATGGTCAGGCCCAGTGGCCCCCCGTGGTGTGACACACCAGGGTCCCACAGTCTCTCATCAAGCACAGGATGAGGAAACACCATGGGCTGATGAATGCTCTCCTGATTCTACATGTTTCTGATGGTTCTTTACTTAAGAAACTCAAGGACTCAGCTGTTCAAGGCCGGCGCCGCGGCTCACTAGGCTAATCCTCCGCCTTGCGGCGCCGGCACACTGGGTTCTAGTCCCGGTCGGGGCACCGGATTCTGTCCTGGTTGCCCCTCTTCCAGGCCAGCTCTCTGCTGTGGCCAGGGAGTGCAGTGGAGGATGGCCCAAGTGCTTGGGCCCTGCACCCACATGGGAGACCAGGAGAAGCACCTGGCTCCTGCCTTCGGATCAGCGCGGTGCGCCAGCCGTGGCAGCCATTGGAGGGTGAACCAACGGCAAAGGAAGACCTTTCTCTCTGTCTCTCTCTCTCACTGTCCATTCTGCCTGTCAAAAAAAAAAAAAATTACTCTTCCTCTTGGATTACTTCAGGGAAACACTTGCCCAGTGAAGCTTGGAAACGTGTGACCCCTTTGATTTTAGATCTTACGAGACCTAACATTAACCACCAATGTTAGGACAAAACTGTGTGTTTCGCATTGGTCTTAGCCCATGGACTGATTCTTTCTTCTTGCTTGGGAAATTAAATTGCTTTATCTGAGTGTTATGGCGTGGGTATAACGTTGACAGCATAGCTTTGTCAAGCAGTTAATGTGTTGTGCTAGTAATCTCCATTCAGATTTCAGCCGTGACTAATGGGGTCTGGCTGTGTGTGCTTCCTCATGCGCCCTCCCCATGGGCAGGAACAGGTGCCTCCATAGCAAAGCCAACCTCACCAGGAGCCTCAGCTGCTCTTCCCACCCTGGTGCAAGCCCCAAAGATGGCGGTTGGTCCTTAACTTCCTGGGTGCAGTGAGCAGCCACTAGTGGCTCCTGGCGGGACTGCACCTGCCTGCCGGACTTCGTGCCCGCTCCAAGAGTGAGACGCTGCAAAGAACTGCTTGGTCCATCGGCTCAGACACGTTTTCCTCACAGTCCCAGAGGCTCTGTCCAGAAGCGCGGGCTGGCTTTAGACGGAAGCTCCTTGCATGCTTCTAATCCTACATTTCTCTCAAGTTTTGCGAAATAAATTAATTCTTGACTGAGAAGGAAAGAAGGTAAGAATACGAACTACATCTCAAATTAATAATTCTCTACATCGTTCCCCAAGAGGAGGAAAACCTAATTCACTAATGTGAGAAAATAAAGACAGGGAGGGAAGAAGGGGGAGGGAGGGAGGGGGGAGGGAGGGAAGGATAAATGGGTGGATGGGTGGATAATTGTATCCATAAAACTTAATACTGTTAGCAAATCAACTTTATTTTGTTTAATATGGCTGAAATCATTGGAAGTTAAGGCCACCAAGGTTTAAATTACTCAATAAGCAGAAGTTTGAAGCCAAAAATTAGTTTTTGCTTTTCTTTGAAAATCATTTCACCAAATTCCACAGGCATTCCTGTAATGATAGATTAAGTTCAGTGTAACAAAATTCTGGAAAATATGCCATTCCTTATTCAGGCATTATAAATTATTTGTAATGTCTCTGGATTAACTATGTGTTTTTAACAAAAATCTAATTCTTTGCCAAAGAGGAATCACAGTTATGAATGCACTTGTGTGTATTGTGTTTCTATAAGCCTCTTAGAAATATCTTAAGATTATAATAGTCTATTTAATCCTTCGTAGAATACAAAAGTCCAGTTGGCCATCCAGCATGCAAAGCATGCAGACCTGGGACACTGACCTTAGGAAGATGCGATTTCTGCTCCCTAGTCTGTGTCCTCCTGCAAATGTCTCTCAAAGGAAAGCTACTGGACTCACCTCCAGCCGGAGACCGTGCGCCTCACTGTGGACCAAGAGGACAGCGTGTTTGAGAACTGGAGTGAACTTGAGGCATTGAAATCCTGTAAAACATAAACAATCTATGATCATGAAACAGGGCTCTCTTTTGGACAGGGACGTCCCACACCTAAAAGCAAAATAAGCCAGCGCCGTATACACAAACAGAAAGCACAGAAGGCATGAAGTTTTCTTGTGCTGCTGCGGATCCTAAAAGACACAGATGTGGACACCTCATCTGCTGGCGGGGGCCTTGTCCACGGCAGGACTCCCGGGAAACATCGCATCAGTGGAGAGGAGAGGGGAGCCGGAGGACACGGGCTGTCCAGAGACATCTTTCCTTCAAGTCCCATAGGATGAAATGCCCACAGTCTCGGGCCCTCCCCAGAGAAGCTGATGGAGCCTACACCACGGAACGGGTGTTTCAGGCCTTTTGATGTTCTCAGCTGCCTTTTTCAAAACTTTGATCGGACTTGTCAAGTCAGGGCCAGCAGCGAAGTGACGATGTATGTGCAGACACAGCCTGAGCGCCCATCCTTACGACGACGCATCTTACAGGAGACAGACAAGCCGCCCACGGTGCTATCCCCACAGAGAGTCAGGTGGACGGATGGCCACGGCACACGACGAGCACACTGGTGCTGGCCGGCTTCCTGGGTCAGGGAATGCAGCACTACAACACACACAGCTGTGTGCACAGCACTGCCAAGGCTGTTACACAGCTCAGTCCTCCAAGGTTTCAGGTGTAGAATTGCAACACTGTTGCTCCGAGGTACAGAGGAAATACAGACTTGCAGGTATGGTGTAAGAGGTTTGGGGTGATTAGGATTGAATAAGGACACCAGGGTGCGGCCCCCTGATTGAATCCTGGTGACCTTATAGGAAGAGGGAGCGAGTAGGGTGGGCGTTTGATACAGAATGTGAGACAAGAAAACCCATACCAGCGTGTGCAGGTTTGGGTCTTCCGCTCCACTTCTGGCCCAGGCTCCTGCCAATGCACATCTCGGGAAGCAGCGGACGGGGGCTCCAGTCCCTGCATCCCTGCCACCTACCTGGGAGACACAGATGGAATTCTTGGTTCCTGTTTCGACCTAGCCTAGTCCCATAGTCCCAGCTGCTGTGGGCATCTGGGGGAGGGAACCAACAGAGGGAAGATCTCTCTGTGCCTGTCTCTTTCTCTGTCAGTCACTCTACCTTTCTGATGAAACTTTCTGATGAATAAAATTTCCCAAAAAGAAGAGGGAGAGAGACCAGACACACTCTGCACTGTCTCTTGCCCTGTGATGCTTTTTTGTTTTTTTTGACAGGCAGAATGGACAGTGAGAGAGAGAGACAGAGAGAAAGGTCTTCCTTTGCCGTTGGTTCACCCCCCAATGGCCGCTGCGGCCGGCGCATTGCGCTGATCATTGGAAGGCAGGAGCCAGGTGCTTCTCCTGGTCTCCAATGGGGTGCAGGGCCCAAGCACTTGGGCCATCCTCCACTGCACTCCCTGACCACAGCAGAGAGCTGGCCTGGAAGAGGGACAACCGGGACAGAATCCGGCGCCCCGACCGGGACTAGAACCCGGGGTGCTGTTGCCACAGGCGGAGGATTAGCCTAGTGAGCTGTGGCGCTGGCCGCCCTGTGATGCTTTGTGTTGCCACTTCCAATAAGACCACTGCCAAAGAGGCCCTCAACCACGCACCTGCAGAGGAAGGGCCTGTCCTCAGGAAGAGGTCAGAGAGGGAAGTGGGACAGAGGAACAGAAGGAAGGGGTGAGAAAGGCCTCACACAGCCTGCGGACCCCAGAGTGCCTCCCTGGGAGGGCAGGCAGGACAGCAGCCATGCCCCCACATCAAGGAGGGAGGCCGTGGGCAGCAGGGGAAGGCAGACAGGATAGAGGACTTGAGGCCTTGCAGAGGCCAAGTGGGCTCCTCTCCAAAGGGGCAGGAGGGGCCGGGACTGGGGCACTGTGCGGGTGTTCTAAGGACACTCGCTTGGTTACAGACAGCCGCGACTGGGCACTGTATAGCGACAGGTGTAACTGCACTATGAATCTTACATCCACAGCTTGCACACGCATGCTTGCCTGCTGAACACTGCTGTCCTGAGCACACCCTGCAGACCACGGGGGCCACCTGGCTTCCCCAAGGGCGTGGAGAGAGCAGGGTCAGGGTGCGGGTGCCTACTGCAAACATTTTCATTTTATGTATTTATTTATATGGAACATAAAGTCTCTTACAGAGAGAGAGAGAGAGAGAGAGAGGTTCTCCCATCTGCTGGTCCTCTCCCCAAACACCCACACCAGACAGGGCTGCATCAAGGCTGAAGCCAAGAACTGGAAACACAACCCAGATTTCCCACGTGATTATCAGGAGCCCAGTCACGTGAGTCATCCTCTTTGCCCCCCAGGAAGTTAGAGGCCCGGGCTGAAGCCGGGTGTGGAACCCAGGCACTGGGATGTGGAATGCGGGTATCCTAAGTGCATCTTGATGGCTAGGCTAGACACCAGCCCCTGCCACGGACGTTGAAGAGTTGCACTTAGGACTGACCGTTGTCGTGACACAAAGTGACGAAAGGAGCAGCGAATGGTGTGACAGCCACCACGCTGCACCCAAAGATGGGTTTGGCATCGTCAGCAAACACACTCTGGAGGTTACGAGTGTGAATCACGGGCTCCCTAAATGAGTGTTCCCTGTGGTCTCACCCTACACCAGGAGTAAGCGTTTGAGTGAGTCAGAGCGCTGCTTACACGACAGAGAAAGAGGGGAAACTGCAGGAATAGGAGGCGCTGGTCACGCCCGCGTTGGCCACAGTGACCTCGGAAGCTGTGACAACGGCCGCCTGCCCCTCCCCTGGCCCTGACGTCTGGCAGCCCCTTCAGTCTGGACAGCACCGGGGACGCCAGCCCAGCCTGTTGAGGAGAGCTGGCCACGCACTGCCCAGAGGGAAGGGAACAAAGGTGGGGGGCATCCACCCGGGAAGCGGCTCGGAGGCGGGGTTCTGGCCGAGGTGCCTCGCTGTCCCTCTGCTATCAGCACCCCTCCAGGGACAGATCGGGGCCCCGGGGCTCCTGGTGATATCGGGGTCCCTGTCGGGTAGGGTTCACTTTTCCTACCTAAGACTCTGAAGCCTCAGAAGAGGTCGTGAGGCTGGGGACCCCTTGTCACTGACATGGCTGCCTTCTGTTGGTGTCTCGTGGTCAGCGCTGTCTTGAAATCCCTGTTCTGAAGCAAGCGTCCCAGAGGACGTCTGTTCACAGCAGCAAAAGAAGAGGAATCGCGGAACCGTCTGTAAATGAAAAAATACGAAGCGGCACTGTGCGAGGGTGTCCACTCCCCGTGAGCATAACACAGTTTATTTTTAATTTAATTTATTTTATTTTTTGACAGGCAGAGTTAGACAGTGAGAGAGAGACAAAGGTCTTCCTTCCATTGGTTCACCCCCAAAATGGCCACTATGGCCGGCGCACTGTGCCGATCCGAAGCCAGGAGCCAGGTGCTTCACCTGGTCTCCCATGGGGTGCAGGGCCCAAGCACCTGGGCCATCCTCCACTGCACTCCCTGGCCACAGCAGAGAGCTGGCCTGGAAGAGGGGCAACCGGGACAGAACTGGCGCCCCAACCTCTGTACAGAGACCCCAGCCAGGCTCAAGAGTCCCCTGCCCCCAGCCCTGTGCTCTGTTTCCTTGTGGGTTCTTTTGTGAACGTATTGTTCCTAGGTCACTTCCTGGTTTAGCAACGAGAGGTGGGGGAGGGGGGCTTTGCCCAGACCTCCTGGAGCCCCCTTGCGGGTTATCAGATAACACCCCCTGCTAAGGCTTTCCCCACAGGCGAGGACTCCAGCCCCACACCCAACACGCTGGCCCCTCCAGGCCTCCCTCCTGCTGGGAAGCACCCCTTCCCTCACATCGCCCCTGCCAAGGGGCCACGGTGAGGCCACTGCATAAATTTCCAGAGGAAGAAAATAAACTATGATAAATAAAATCGTGCTTTACGAGGAGCGACTGCTATTTCATTTCCTGCCAATGTGTGCAGGGCTTATAAATTCACAGCTCTCTAATTACTGGCCCTGACCTTAGTCCTGCCTTCTGAGGCCTTCCAAAGATGTCCACTTCCAAGTCGCACAAGCAGTGTGTTTCTGCTGGGGCCGTGGCCACGTCCTGAGGCCCTGGCGCCGGGTCTCTGAAGACGGTCCCCACAGGGCCCACTCTGCCCTGCCTCCTCCTTTCCCGCCTTGTCTTTGGGGAGGGAGCTGAGCACCTACAGAAAGACCAAAAGCTCAGAGAACTCCCTGGGGGCACAGTTCTGGTTCATAGCGGGGTTCTAGCTCAAGCCACACATAAACGCTGCTTTTCCTATGGAAAAGCAAGATGCCCTTTCGCCAGCAGCGCCCTGGCCCCAGGCCCTGAGAAGGAGTGGGGGCCGCAGAAAAGAATGACAGCACTGCTGTGTGGGGAGCCCACTGCCCCGGGGAGAGGGCAACGTGTGTGTGTTGGGGGTGGGTGGGGGGACGGCAGGCACAGAGGATCCTGGAAGCCACGTCTGATGTTTGCCTTGTTGCCAAGTCTCAGTCCAGGGCCACCATCTCGCCCTGCGGAGTGAAATGAGACACAGAATTGACAGAAGCCAGAGGGGAAAGGAACGCCCCCACACTGCTCAGATGTCCCTGAGCTTGCTGACAGCGGCACCTGCTCTGGGTGCAGGGTCAGGATGCGCTTCCGACGCCTGCCTCCAGAGGGCACCACTCAGAGCTCGGGTCTGCTCTCCCTACACCCTGGGGTCTTCCAAGGAGTTAGCGCCGCTTCCGTCTACCTCGTGGCACCGTTTTGCTTTGTTTTGTCTGAAGGTGAACTCACGTCATCGGTCATCCAGTCCACGCACCGATGCACAAGGAGACCAGTGGCGGAGGAGAAGGAGGGCCGCAGCCGGGGACCCTCGGTGGGCCGAGGCGGGGCTGGGCAGCCGCTCTCCTGGGCAAGGTGTTCATTCTCAGAAGCATGAACCTGCGGGTGATGGGAGCAAAGCTCAAGTCCATGGGGGCTGTCCCAGACCACCCCCGAAACCCTGTGGTCTGGTGGTTAAAGTCTGCGGTTTCCCTCGGGGTCTCGGATGGCATATGGGGAAGAGGTGGGGAGATCCTGGGTGTGAGAGGGAGAACACCCGAGCTGGGCTTGACCTCTGTAACAAAAGACAGATTAACAGGAGAAAAACTAGCCAGCCGCCAGCGCCGCGGCTCACTAGGCTAATCCTCCGCCTTGCGGCACCAGCACACCGGGTTCTAGTCCCGGTCAGGGCGCCGGATTCTGTCCGGTTGCCCCTCTTCCAGGCCAGCTCTCTGCTGTGGCCCGGGAGTGCAGTGGAGGATGGCCCAAGTGCTTGGGCCCTGCACCCCATGGAAGACCAGGAGAAGCACCTGGCTCCTGCTTTCGGATCAACGCGGTGCGCCGGCTGCCGCGGCCATTGGAGGGTGAACCAACAGCAAAGAAGACCTTTCTCTCTGTCTCTCTCTCTCACTGTCCACTCTGCCTGTCAAAAAAATTAAAAAAATAAAAAATAAAAACCAGCCAGCCTATGAGCAGGTGCGGTGTGCACTGCCCAGCAGAGACCCAGCAGGAGGTCACTCAAGGCCATGGTGGAGAGTGTGGCCTGGGGAAGGTCTTTGCCACCCAGCCATGAGGTTCGGGGAGGGGTGGGACCCACAGGAAAGCAGTCCCGGCTTCCATAGGCAGGGAACCAAAGGAAGGAGGAGAGCCTGCTCCCAGAATCCTCGCTGCCCCGCTGCTAAGCCATGCTCCCGCGTTTCCGGGCAGGGGGAGGGGGAGGAGAGCAGAAAGCCCGTTGGCCGTCTGCAGCCTCTGAGCTGCTTTCAGGGGAACCGTCGGGGATGGCACAGCGCCCGCGGCAGCTGAGTCGCCGTGAACTGCGTTGTGTTGAGCCTGAGCACAGGGCTTGTCCATGCCTCGCGCCTCTGCCAGTGAGGAACACAGCCTCTGTGCTCCCAGAGGGCATGGTGGTCCCCATCACAGCCACGCAACCACCACGCCAAGATGGACTCGAAGCCTGGCGTCTCCCGTGGCCCCACAGCTTCTAGAGCGCCCCTGGCTTGGAACACGGGCCTGATGGAGCTCGTCTCTACGTCCAAACGCCCTGTGGCTTGCAGACCTACGATTTGTGGGTCTCAGCAGGTGGCCGTCCTGGGTCAGCCCAGGCCCTAAAGCTCTCGTTGACATTCGTGTGCTCCTTCAAATACCCACGGGACTCCCCTTCCCACAGGGCTGGGCGTGGCCTCAGCTCTGAGCTAGGGGTCCCCACCAAACCATGGGAGACAGCGATCCGGGACGCTCGCGCCACACGAGCTGTCTCCTGCCACGTGCTCAGGGAGTCCGCATTTGCCACTAGATCAACGAATGGCTGAGTGCCTGCTCAGCAAATCACTGACAGTAGCCCTGAATTAGACAAATCGCAAACAAGAGGAAAAAGAGAGATGGAAGAAGAGACTTTCCATCCGATTCTCCGCGATAGCTGTATGTGATGTGCAGGGTCAGCTGAGCGAAGGGCTGGCTGGGGTAAACCCTCTCTCCTCGTGCGCTACTCCCCAGTAGAAACACAAACTGCAAGTGAGCCCTCAAACCGGGACTGGAGCCGGAGCCGGAACACTCAGAGCTGTGACCACATCTGTGGATCTGCTAGCGCCCCGGGTGATGCCGAGGCTGGGGGTCCAGCCTGGGAGCCAGCTGTGGTCCCCTTAGCCCCGCTGTGCGCCGACTCAGGTGTCACAAGGAAGAAGCTGGGCAATGGAGGAGAAGCAGTGGCTGGGCGGTCAGGAGGGGCCCTGGGAATTCCCAGTGCCTGCTGTCCTGACCCTGTGGCTGTGGACTTCAAGATGAGGAGCCCTGAAGCCGCGGGGTGCAGTGCTGAGGTCAGCTGGCCCTGCGCAGTGTCACCCCGGAAGGCCCGTGGTATTTAAAATATCTCTGCATCCTGAACACTTAAGGGACCCTTCTCCAGATCAAATAAAATCTCCACGTCTTTGCTTCTCTGCTGTTGCGTGAGAGCCACGCCTTCTTGTTGGCCCACGGCAGGGCTCTTGTCACCCTCTGCTCCCTGGAGGTGAACGGAAAGGAGCAGCCTGGGAGGGAGAGTAACCGAGTGACCACAGCCCAGGAAGGCAGGGAGCTGTGCAGCCTCAGGCCTCGCTCGCTGTTCACTGGAGGACACAGCCGGGCCAGGCCCGAGGACCTGGGACTCGCGAAGGTGAGCTGTGTGTGTTCTTGCAGTAAGTCTCACCACTTCTGCCGTCGTGTTTAAATCATCGTGATGGTAGAGAATCGCAAAAATAGAACAGGACACCTGTGTGCCTGTAACTCAGAATCAACCATTGTTAAGTTTTTGCCCGTGTATTTTTTTCCATAGGCAAAAACTAACTGCGTCACCTGCTGTGTGTGTGTGTTTTACAATATGAGCTATACACCTGTGCAGCCGTACCTCACATAGCAGTAGCCCTACCCCCATCCATGAGGGGTGTTCTGAGCCCACCAGAACCGGCCTGGAGCACACATCGACAGGACTGACCCTGCATGTACTCTTACTATGCCTTTTTCAAAGTATTCATACCAACAATACAGCGTAATTAATAAATTAGCTGCAGTAAGAAGTTGAACACAACAACTAATAATAAAATACAGCAATTATAAGACGATGATGTAATAAAAGTTACATGGATGCCATCTGTCTTCAAACAGTCAAGAAAAATATTGGTGCGTTCAGAGCGAAGTTGAGTGCAGGCGACTGAAATACTGGGAAGCGAGAGGGAACCCATGGCTGAGGGGAACTTCTGCTTATATGCATGTACGTATATGCAAGTGCACGTGTGTACATACATGTAAGCGTGCATATGTAAGTGGACTGTGGATACAGATGTCTATGTGTGTATAAATAAATGTATCCGTGTATATGTGTGTGCATGTTTGCATACATACATGTAAACGTGTATATGTGTGTGTGTACACAAGTGTTTGTATATATAAGTGGGTGTGCATATATGTATGTATATTTAAATGTCCGTACAAATGTGAATATGGATGTAAGTGTATATGTGTGTAAATATGTGTGTAAGGATTTGCACATTGTGTATATGTTAAGTCTGAGTATATATGTGTGTAAATGTGTATGTGTCTGTATATGCCTATGTTACTATGTGTATATCAGTGTGTACATGTATTGTGTATAACCTATGTTACTGTGTGTATATGTAAGTGTGGGTGTGCATATGTAAGTCTGTAGATATGTGTGTACATGTATTTAAGTGTGTATATCCTATGTTGCTGTGTATACATACGTGTGTATATACACACACACATTTTCCACACTTCTTGAGAATGCACAACCCCGTCTCTTCCAGAAACCGACGTTTACACTACAGCTGTCCACTGAGCACAGTACTTGTCCCTGGCCCACCGTGCTCACGAGCGGGCGACTGATCCGTGCAGGCCCCTTCCCGTACTTCCGTCGCGGTAAAGACGCCCCGCAGAGTCACGGCCTCCCTTCAGTCGCCAGATGGTCACCGTTTGCTCCCTCACTTTCCTCTCCTGCCACTGTCCTGGCCTCCCGCTGGGAGAGCAGCAGCCCTCGGGGAGCCTGTGTCATGTCGCCCGTGCCCGAGCCTGTGTCATGTCGCCCGTGCCCCTGGGACTGTGCGCCGTGCATCACGTCTCCGGGTGCAGGGCGTGCTGTGCCCTCGCTGCCGACGTGGATTTTGCTACCTGAAGCAGGTGTTGTCCAGTCTCTCCATTCGGTAGTGGGCGGGCACCTGCCACGGCCCAGTGTGCTGGCCAGCATCGAAGGCCCGCCCCTGAGCGGCCGGAACTCGCTGGTGGCTCCTGTGTGAACGTCCTCGGAGCCACGGTGTAGGCTGGGGCCCGCCTGCTCTGCAGCCTCTGCCCTGGCGGCCGCAGGCCTTCCCTTGTTCTGTCACTGCTGTCCTGACCCACAGACGAGTCTGCGATGATCGGTCGCCGTCCTTGACTATTGCTGAATGCAGGTTGTCGCGGAGCCGGCTGCTGGCAGCCCCTTCGCCGAGCCTGCCCTCGTGGGCAGCCCCGGTCGGCTCTGCGTGCTTCCTTCGCGTTTCCTTACTTTCCGACTTGAAAGACACTCTCAGCTGGCCAAGAGTCTCTCCCTGACCAAACCGCATGCAGCCTCCTTCGAGATCCTTCCCAAACAGCCCTGATTCTGGACCTGTAGCCTCGTCGGGCTTCAGCAAGAATCCTGCCGAGTGTGCACTGCCCAGCCCTGGCCATCCGCACTTCATCACCGCGCTGTGCACCCACCCCGGCCTGTGTGCCAGTGCAGCTGCGCCTCCCGCGTGGGAGGCTCCCGTGTGCTGACACGCACCCCGCACCCTGGACAGGAAGCCCCACTTCTCCTGTTGTAGTCGGCCCCAGCCAGCTTCCACACTGGGAACTCTCTCCTCTGCCATGCCAGTTTCTCGGAGCAAGGCACGTTTTTACCGCTCTAACTGCTCAGCGCTGGCTTCCCTTGGACAAAGTGCGTCTTCTCCTTCCCCCACCACATTCCTGAGCTCTGTCATTTTTATGCCAGAAACAAAGTGGCTGATGACAGCCTGGTCCAGGAGAAGGCACAGGGATGGTCTTCTCTGAGAAGACCCGCGGGGGGCTCCTTCGGGGGCGAGGGCCCCCCACCTGAGCTCAGTGAGCCTCAGAGCCGTTAGTTCAGTGGCTGGGAGAAGGCAGTGGGACTCCAACAACCAGGCCTGGCGGTGGGAAGAGGTGCTGCGGAAGCCCTGGGCCCCCGACTCCCAGGACACCGATGTCGCGGGCATCCTCAGCCTCAGGGCCCCGGCTCTGCTGCCCGCACTGGACCACGGTCTCCCCCAAAGGCAGGACACACAGCACAACGCCCCCGGCTTCTGCAGCTCCGTGTCTGTCATCAGGGAGTTCTCCTCCCCGGCCCCGGGAAGAGGCGGTTTCCTGGCACGGATCAG